GACGACGACAACGACGACGACAACGACGACGATGACGACGACGGCGGGAGATGAGTTGGACTTCGTTTTTGTTCCACTCTTCGCACTGGCTTTATTTCCTGGACGTTTCCTTCTGTCGTCCAGTCACGTTTCCCGGAGACACTTGTCTCGACAAAACGCACAGCCGTGACAGAGGCATGACGAGGCGAGCCCGGCAACGTGTAACGAGATCGATCCTGCCCCACCCCGTACCACCTAGACGGGAAATAAAGGAATCTTTCTCCGGACAAAACGCGAGTTCGCGGGGCGAGCAGGGCCGCCGAATGGACCTTTGAAATAAGGAACGTGAATGGCGCGATGGTCGTTCCGACCACGCAACCGATATGAACGATGGCGAGGGAGCTCGCGCTTTCCAGGAGAAACGTTGCATTATTCGCGGTATGCGCGTCGCGATTTCGCTCTCGATTTCGAGTTTTCAGAAAAAACTATCCTTTGTTTGCCGTCAACAGTAAGTATACAAATCTCACGCTTTGCCATTCGCGTCGAACGTCGATATCCGTAACAGCTAAATTATTATAGAACCTTGTTATTTAGTCAAATCGCGGCGGTTCCCCGTTTTCGAAATGAAAAACTTCGCTTTTGGGTTTTCAAGAACTTATCTCTTATTTATTGACAACCGTATATATATAAATATAAATACAAATATAAATATAAATATATATATATATATATATATATATATATATGTATATGCATAAATATATATATATATATATGTGTGTGTATGTGTGTGTTCGTAATGGGAAGATTGATACAGAACCTTGCCATTTCTTCTTATCGCGTTCTCTATTTTCAGAATAAAAATCACAGAAGTATTTTTTTCGAATTTTAAGAAAGTCACTTTTTATTTATTGGCAACCGTGTATATGTAAACCTTAAGTTTTATCGGCTACATTGACATTTCTTCTATAATCACAATTCCTTATTTTAAGAATAAAAATCACTGTAGTTTTCTTTCGGGTTTTAAGAAAATCATCTCTTATTTATTGGCAACCGTGTGTATATAAATCTTACGTTTTATCGTCCAGATTAACATAGAACCTTGACATTTCTTTTACAATCGCGACAGTTACCTATTTTCAAAATAAAACTCGCAGCAGGATTTTTCTTTCGGGTTTTAAGGAAGTCATCCCTTATTCATTGGCAGCTGTGCGAATATATAAAGCTTACTTTTTATCGTCCAGATTAACATAGAACCTTGACATTTCTTCTACAATCGTGACAGTTCCTTATCTTCAGAATAAAAGTCACAGTAGGGCTTTTCTTTTGAGTTTTAAGAAAATCATCCTTTATTCATTGGCAACCATGCGTATATAAATCTCGCGTTTTATCGTCAACGTTCCACTTGGATCTTGTAACGAGAAGATTAACATAAAACACCGTCATTTGCTCTAATTTCGGCGATGTTCCGCTTTCTGAACAGAGATCACAACAGAACTTCTCCTTCGGATTTTGAGAGAATCGTCCATTATTTACCGACAACCACATATATATAAAATTTCATGTTTTATCATCCACATACGACGCCAATTTACGTAACAGGAAGATTTACATAAAACCTCGTCACTTACTCTAATCGCGGTGATTCCCCGCTATCAGAATGCAAATCATGACAAGTTTTCTCTCTATGGGGTTTCTAAGAAATCATCATTTATTTGTCGGTAATCGCGCACATATAGATCTCAAGTTTTATTCTCTACGTCTTATATCGATATTTGCTCATTAAGAATAAATTTTGGCTAATAAGAACTGCTTAAAAATATTGGTAGCGTATAATCTCTTGCGGAAAGATAATAATAATTTCTAACAGTGTCAATCATTATATTTTAAATTCTAATTTAAATATAATATATAAAAAAGATACATGAAAGTATAAAATATATATATTATAAATATAAAAAAAAATATATATATAACATATATAAATATATAAATATAATATATATAATATATATATATATATATATATATATATATAAAATATATAAATATA